TTGCAAACCACTGTATCTTGATTATAAAAGGGTTTGGAACAGCAGAAAATAATTGTTATTCTGATCCTTTCTGTGTTTTACTCAAAGCTCAGGTTGTACCATCTGTTTCAAGAGATAAATGTCAGGAGTTTGCTTTAAAAAACAACAAACATATCCTAAATTTTCTGAACGCAATAAAAGTACATGCAATAAATGCTTACTGTGTGTCTAAGTACTRATCTGACAAATGTAACAGAAATATTGTTTATTCAGTTTGGGAAGTCCAAAAGCCTTCAGGGTGTCATGTTTCATGCACTTTAATTTAAATACAGATTTGTTATATCYATTCATTAAGTTGAACAGGACCTAATGGACCCTCAATGAGGGGAGACACAGTTTCCTCCAGTTAATTCTGTGTACTCATACTCATATGCTCACAGTAATATTCAAACCCAACTGTGATTCATTAATGTTGCCCTTAATTACTGAGAAGTGCACATTAGTCTGTTCTTGATTATCCTCCAAACCAGGCAGGGGTCAGGTGGCTCTTTAATAAGGCAACCTGTTCTGAATTAAAATACAGATTTCTGCATGACAGGTTGACAGCTCTATCATCATATAAAATAAGATTTATTAGAACATAGTGGGTTTTAGTGTGTATGTATGCCCCAGCTATGCTAATCAGACATCATAAACCTTGTCCAAACAGAGTCAGAAAGATCAGCCGTTGSGAGTTAAATAAACCTTTTGACAGGTAATGTTTGGTCACACCTGGTAGTCGCTCTTCCACTGAACTTCCTGCTCAGGACTCATCTGGCCTGTCAGCTCCTGGACTTTGGACCTCCTCAGTGGATTCTTGGCCACCACCGAGCCTGGGTCACTGGATGTGTAAGTTTTTTTGGCTGGGTTGTAATGTGTGATCTGGTTTGTGCTGTACGCACGCCTCCTTGGTGAAGTGTCATCTAAACGAGACATGAAAAGTCAGCAGATGATATAATGGTGCTTTTTGATAAAGATAATTAGTAGCTGTGCCTCTGAAATGATAACCCCTAATTCAACATGCTAATTTACCAATGTTTCATTTCTGACAGATACATTTTCTTTTATACTAAAACAAATCTGATCAAAGAACAGTTTATGTTGAGCTGTCTCTTTTTACACAAATACTAATTTCTGCATTTGGCAACTTGTTAGAAAAGCTGCTTTAAACACTCACAGAGCTTTGCTGTGTTGACTATAACATGTTCAGTACAACACAGGCTGTGCAGAGTATGTTTTAGTCCTGGCTGACAYGTGACCAGCTGCATGTTGTAAATGAAGCGTGGTAAATATTGACACACTGCTAACATGCAATATATTGCCAATGGGAGAACAAACAGGGAGAGTATTCATGTAAGATTAATCTAAAAACCATYCTACTATGTAGATTTTTACTGTAGAGTTTAGGAACAAAATATTCTGTTTAATCTATTGTTTTGTGTGTTAATCTAGATGTGGAAATTATTTTTAACCACCCACACTTTCACATAAACCTTACATTTATTGCCCCTTTTCCACTAGTGCCATTTACTGTAGTGTTGGTACAGTTCGGTACGGTTCCAATCCATTTCCATTAGGCCAGACTCTTGGTACCAGCCCCTTTTTTTAGTACCTGCTTCGTTGAGGTTCCAAGTGGCCCAAGTCGACACCAAAATGTGACATCAGAACACTGTTTGTCACTGATTGGCTAGGGGATGGAGTCACTGGTTGCGTCTGAACTAGGGTTGGATATTGAAAGGGTTTATTTCGATACCGGTGCTAAATCGATATTTTCAAAACGGTACCGGTTCCTAAACGGTATTTAAATCGGTACTTTAAAAATAAATAAATAAAACACACACAGTCACATAGAGGTTTGTGAAGTAATGATTGTTTCTGAGGCAAAGTCAAACTTGAAATTGACCAACATATGAAC